CCCCAAAACCCCAAAACCCCAAAACCCCAAAACCCCAAAACCCCTAGTAGCCTGACTCGTATTGTTAAAAAATTATAAAATAAAATTAAAATGTCAAGCCTGATTCCTAGATTCCTTGCTTGCACTGAGCAATTGAGTTTGAATAAGGTGCCTGCCACCAATTCAGGTAAGGAAAATGACAATTTGTTTAGGAAGACCCTACAGAAAACTGAAGTTCAATGGAGAGAAATATGAGAAATTGAGTGATACTGACATTAAGGAGCTTGCCAATTCTTTAGAGAAGAACACTGTAAGTTTAGAGAAGAAGGTTTGGGGAAGAGAATTACGAAATTTAGGGTGATTCTGGATATTAATTTTAGAAAAATGTTTAAAATAGAGTTAGGAGTTAGCTTAGAGGAATTTTGAGGGGTTATAATGGTATAGAAATGAAATTTTGCCCTAGGAGATTTGAATTTTTACATTTTTTCTTTATAAGAAAAATAAATAAAAAATTTAATAGAAATTTAAAGGAGAACTTCTTCTGAAGAATAACAGTCTGACTGACCTCAGTGCTTTATATTTAACTAAGGCTATGGAAACCTTCAAAGGTATCACCAAATTAAGTCTGAAAGGCAACGGTCTTGGTTCAAAAGCAGGAGAATTTATAGGCGATTGGCTCCTAGATCTTGGCAAAACTGGAGGTAAAATCAATTCTATAAATGTCTAAACTTCTATTTTTCATTCATTTCAAATTTCTAACCCCTATTTAGGCTCCTTAGAAGCTCTAGACTTAGGAGGCAACAACTTCGAAGAAACAGGAATCAGAAGGATCATTCTTGGAGTTGCTAGAGCAAAGACCCTTAGAAAAGTTGACATTGGAACTATTAGTGATTTTGGACTAGTCCTCCTTGCAGAAGAGCTGACGCTCTTCTATGGCGAAGAGGCTGACCCTCAAGGCGTACTTGAAAAGATCAAATTCAAAGAAAACAAGGACAAAGAGTTCTCTTCCAAGGCTAGAGAATCCTTCATCGAAAGTTCTGAGAACTTCTCACCTCTGATCAAGTGTGGCGACGATGAGCTGGAATACTACAACAAGGATAAGAAAATCGCTCAGAAGGAATTCAAGAAATTTAAGAAGAGAAATCTCGTAATGGACCAGAAATCCTTAATCAAAAGTGTAGTGAAAAGCTTAGAAAACAAGAGAAAACCTGATAAGATAGCGATTCAAAAGTATTTCAAAAATACTTTTGGAGATCTTCTTAACGATGCTATGTACGAACTCACTAGAAAGCAGGAGAAGTTCCCAGAAAATGACGAGTACTTCACAATTGAAGGCTCCCTTATTTTTGTAGGAGAGTTTCTCCTAGAAAACCTCCCTGATCATGAAGTTGAGCATCTAAAGGAAGAAAAAGAATCTAAAGGAGAGAAGAATGAAACAGACGTTTAAATATTTCAATTAAAAACATGTAAGAAGGGGTTTTGGGGTTTTGGGGTTTTGGGGTTTTGGGG